AATCGCACTCTCGCCTGCATTTCGCGCACTCGACACGCACGATCTCCACAGAGGGTTGCGCGCGCATGGGACAAATCGCACTCTCGCCTGCGTTTCGCACACTCGACACGCACGATCTCCGCAGAGGGTTGCGCGTCAAGTCTCCAAAACGAGCGTTTCGTACGAGACTTCCTCAAAAACTCACACGTCAAAGTCTGCAAAACGAGCGTTTGGTACGAGACTTCCTCCAAAAGTCAAGCGGAAACACCCATCGGAGCACACACATCACGCAGCCCTGCCAAGCAGTTTCGCGATTCCAGCCCCTCCAAACAACATCCGCTCACACGCCAATCCCAATGGGACAGCGACATTCACCTCTACCACAACTCACAACCTCACGATTCCCTGCGCCTGCCACGAATCTTTCCCCATCCACACGTCTAACGCGCACAAAGTACTGCGCCTGCCACGAAATGTCACCTCCCTCACACCTCGCAACCTCCCGACTCCCTGCGCCTGCCACGAGAATCGCACTTCCACGCTTCAAAGCCCGCACGAAGTCCTGCGCCTGCCACGAAAAGTGACAATATCATCGCGTGTGAGCTTCAACAAAATTTGCACCACACCACACGTTTGGAATGATTTCGACCCGTTCAGAGCACACTCCCATCCACCAAAATCGCCATTTCAGCTGAGACTTGTCACGAAAACAGAGCTTCGATGCCACACCCTGAAACGCAAATCCCAATGGCACGTCCACATCCAACACCCCAAAAACACGACTCTCCAAACGCTAATCCCAATGGCACTGCGCAGCAAACTGCGGATCTCACAAAACGCTGCGCCTGTGCAGCGAAATGCATCACGTTTCTTGCGCGACATGTCCGTGTCCCGCAAGTCACAATGGAATAGCGGTGCAAACTGACACGCGACACGTCCATACCAAGTCACTTGCAAAAGCTTCCCCCAATGGCAGCAAATTTGAGACGCGACGACGACGACACGACGACGACAGACGACGAGAGACGACGAGAGACGACGACAGACGACGAGAGACGACGACAGACGACGAGAGACGACGACACGACGCAAGCCATGCAAACACATGTCCAACCCCCACACCCCCAACTATAAGCGGGAACCCTTCGCTACGCATTCGGGAAAAAACTGTCACAAATGTCAAAGTCGATTGCGTTTCCTGGCAAAGTCGTCGCACACAGCATCGCGCATCTGAGAAGCCAAAAATGCCTCCAGCGGCGAACGAGCTGCTCATTTCGCACGCTTCGTTTGAATAAATTCTTCGAAGCTGGCTTCTGCTCTGATCAGACGTGGATCCTTCTTTCATCTTTGCATTTTCTCTTTCATCTCGCCACTTGGCAATCTGTACGTTGCGGGCAGTAAAGGCCAGGATGTCCAAAAGATCTGAAAAGGGAATTGATTTCTTCTAAGTTATGTCTTTTCTTCATCTAAGGCTCTAAGGAGTTCCTTTGGAAGTTCTTCCGGATTTCTGTAGAAGAAAAAAATCGAACGGGACTCACCCTTTTTGGAACATCATCAAGCCATGAAAACTTCCAGACTTCCAGCCTTTGCCCTTCAGCTTCGAGTGGGAGGGCATTCATAGGTATCACAGGACTGGCGAATCAAGCAAAAACTTTCTGTCTGAGAACCAGAGGTCTTGTCACACCCTTCGTTCTTGGTTTGTTGTGTTCAAAGTCTCCTCAAGTAGATGCAACGAAACATTCATGATCACACCTGCGGAGTGAGACAAATGTCGGTCATGTAGATCTGCCCAGAGGTCCAGTTTCCTGGTGCTAAGTACCTGTGAGAATCAACGATCTGCTTACTCTGTTTTCTTTCCTTCACAATCGCAAAAAACGTAAGTCACACCGAAATACTGACCGCACATCTAGCTCCTTAGATTCAAGCTGATGCTCCGGTGTCAAGCTCATTTATGAAAGACCACCCCGGCTCACTGAAATTCCAACTTGTCCGCTGCTTGCCCTACTGGTCCAGTCACCTCAACACCAAACCACAGTAATGTTCACAAGAGACTCTGGAGGCTCTGCTGTACATGCTCTGCATGCATGAGGCAATGCACTCCAATCTGACCTGGTCGCCTTTTTCATGGAGTCAGCGCAGGTCATCAAGGCGTTCAGAGGTCTTCGGATCTGAGTCAAACCTCTCTTCAGCCCTCAGCTGAGTGCAAAAATGATTCAAGATCGCGTGCGCTTCGTGCGCTTCGTGCGCTTCGTGCGCTTCCTTCATCGGAGCTCTCACAAAATGCACTGGCAAAGAATTGCCACATGCTGCCTCATTCTACTCGGTCCACTGCGTCGGATGTTGCTGTTGGACTCCGGCAAAAGGCTCCGCCAAATGGCAAGTAGTTTACCGGTCAAAAGGCCAGCCAAACACGCCACGTCGTTGACAGGCATCTTGCAATCAACGGACATCACATTCTGCTGCTTCATGGGCCTGAAGGACACAACTTTCAATCAAAGCGCACTCTACACAAGTTTTGCACATTCCAAGAAAACCGCATCCCAACGGACCGGCAGAAGTTGTTGTCTTCATGCTCACTCAATCTCTGCACCAAAGAGCTCAAGTTGCAGTCGAAGGTGGTTTTTGCAGCCTTTGCACTGCCCTAACTCGCCTCCAGAGGTTGACAGAAGGCAAAAGGTCTCACTAAGTTCCACAGGCCTTACATGACTTCTCAAACCTGCGATGAGTCCGACCAAAACTTCAAGGCCTGCCAGTGAGCAACCGAATCAAGGCAACCAGGAGGACGACGCCCAATGCTACCAGAGCACGTGGGTGACCTGCCAGCGAAGCCGATGGCTGCAAAAGTCTGTATTGTGAAAACGTGAAATCTGGTTGAAAACTTGTTTTGGACACACTCCGCGAGAAATACAAGGAGGTATCGAAGGATGAGCTCCAACGGGTGATGCATAATTACTTCCATGTGATCTGGGTGAAGGAGAATGAAGTCGATAGGAACTTGATCACTGGGTGGCTTGCCAAATGCAGTGAGAGGGTTGATGCTCTAAAAAGCTTACCCACGATTCAAATAGTCAGGATCAGTCAATTATATGTAGAAGTTGTAAGCCTATGTCAGCCTCAGTGCTATGAGACATGTGTTCCTTATGGGAAATCAGTGAAAACTGCGAAGGCAGATGACAGATCAAAATGAGAGAACACTGAAGCCAAAAGAGGAACGAGTGAGTGGAAATGAAAGTGAGCCGAGGGTATAGATCACCATCCAACTCGTGGCACCTATGGCAACTGACTGGGCAGTCAGGAGAAAGATTGAAGCACTGAAGCAGAATACCCAGTGCCACGTGTCTCTTCCGACAGGTCATTGGAAGAAATAATGTGCACTGCTCAAGATTGTGTGTACATCCTTGAAAGCAATGATGAGCCTTTTGAAGTCTGAAGTCTACCCCACGGAGGAGGTCCAGTTCGGCAAAGGCATGAATGTTGCTGGGGACTTCACCAATGACTCAAAAGAAGACGGGAAAAGGAAAACCTTCCAAGAAAGACCAATGCAAAGTTGGAGAACATCACCTGGGGCATCATCACAAAATGCGAAAAGGGCTGTTCTCTCCAGTGGGAATGTCTGATGCCATGATTGCCACCTATGAACAAAACATACTGAGCGTATTGGGAAGGGGGCGACTGAGTTGTCTCATCAGTCGGCATTGGAGTCCGCAGATCTGCTGTGCCTGACACTGCCTACTGGAAGACTCTGGTTGTGGAGTTGGTTCTTAGGGATATTGAAGAACGTGTCAATCAACGGGGGTTGAGAGTCATTGGGAGACAGGAAACGAACAAGTTGGCACACTTGTCTCACGGAGATTGCACAGATTCCTTATTTGTGGTTAGAAAGGCGGCGTCGAAGGAACTAACTATTGCGGAAGTTAGAGTCCTGTGCTTTCATCATTTTGGATAAAGCTCCAAACAAGCTCAAAAGAACAGCTCGTGGCCATTATGCTCCAGTGCTTGAGGCACTAAGCCAAGCGAGTGAGAACAAGCATCACCCTCTTGAGCACTGCAATGACCAGCCAACTTGCCCGGGAGCTGACGGATAACCTCCTCGAAAAACAGGAGGAGGAGGAGAATCCTTCAGAGTTCATTAGTTTGGACGAAGCTTCAGATCACTCGGAGGACCTATCGGCATGCCCAATCATGGGCCACGCCTTGTACGAGGCTGGAACGTTCAAACACAAGAAGACTTGCACCGGGGCGTACCAGGAAGAGACGCACTACATCCAGTGGATTGCAGTGGATTGGCAGTCACATCACCCTGAAGTCATGTGTGGGCACAAAGAAACTTCTGCTCTTCATCGAGTGTCGACTCAGCAAAGAAGGGACGCCTACAGGCCACATGGATGGAGAAGAAGGAGCAGCAGAAAGCTGGTGGAGCCAGCAAATCACACCAAATGCCGTGTCCTCCCCAGGCAAAGATGATGAATCGCAAGAAGCCCAAGGAGAACTTGACCGATGAAGCCATCAACCAGGAGAGGATGATGCAACAGATAATCCTCGAAGTTGTGGACACGAGGGAGGGGGATGGGCTCAAGCGTTCGCAAAAAAATAACAAAATGGAGCATGAGGAGGGCGGCTTGAGCAAGTTATAACAAGTTCATCTCGAACTGGGAGGCAGTTGCAGCGGCGGTGAGTGCTCAGACAAAGCAGAGGCCTTAAGCCCTACAAGAGCAAGTGAGCCAACTGAAGAGAAGTGCCATGATAGATCGATGGGGCCACCAGAAATTGTATTTGTCAATGAAGTACTGCATAGAGCCTGGCTCTGCGAAACAGATCCACATGAACCAGTAGATGTTTCATTCATCACTTGAGGTACAGCAGGCCCAAAAATAGAGGTAGCAGAAGTTTTGTCTGTGCCAAGATTCTGCAGACTGGGACTTTGGCAACAACAAAGGAGAGATTCGTTGAGAGAACATGTTGCAGTCATGAAATCAACGTTGTTGTGCCCACCTTGTGGAACAGTTGCACTTTGCAGGTATTCACACCAAGGAATGTGGCAAATGACGATGGCAATGCATGTTCGGGTTGAGAGACAAAGAAAACAGTAAACTTCACAGGAAAAGCATTAGACTGTCTATATATATATATAAACTGTGTGATCAGTCCCATGGCCACCAACATGTGACAGGTTCCACTAGGGCCTCCCGTTCCAAACTTGCTCAAGAGTATCCTCCGCGATTCTGTGAAGAAATGTTGATAGGACTTCAAGAGCACATGCAAGAGCATAAGCAGAGTCACGTTGTACATTGTGTGCTGACGGTTGAGGCTCTCAACATGAAGGACGAGGAAAAAGAATCCGCCGGCCCGTGGGCGCGGCGTGTTTTAGGTGATTGGTTCGTATGCTATCCTAGTAGTTGTTTTGTTTTAGTCTAATTGTGCCCACGGCGCGGATTTTTGACAAGTCTAACTTCTCCCCCCCCCCCCCCCCCCCTCTCCCCCCCCTCCCCTCAGCCAAAAGGGCCGGCGGAACAATCCGCAGGGGTATAACATGTCCCTGCTGAGGAGATGTCTTGGACATCGATCAACACCGCGCTTTTTCACGATGCTAAAGGCTGCCAGAGCTAATGAACTTTGTATTCGCTTGCCAAAGGGTTGTCATGTCCAAATGATAAAAACTACAGGTGAGAAAAGTCACAATGTCTGAAAGGCTGTGAAGGACCTGCGGTTCAACCTACTTCCATGTTCTGATACCATTGAAGTTGAATTGTCAAAGAAAATTGAAACTGTTGAACTTGGTTGACATGGGAAAGTCATGAAGATGCGACATGTCAGAAAGGCGTATCATCGCTTTTGGAAGCGTTGGGCAGGTGCACCAAAGACAGTTGTCAGCAATGGAGGACCACAGTTTGGTGCAGGATGGAGCGACCACTTGGCCAGTGATGGAACAAAACACACAGTCACAGCCGCAGAACTCAATCCTCAGACAAAGGAAGAAACGGAAGAGCGTGTGATCAGCTAAACTGTGCCCATAATACCTGACGAGGCAAGAAGGGTATTCACCGCAACAGCATCTCTTGGTGCAGATGTCACGATTCCAGTGCTTGGCATGGTCGGTGAAAGTAATGAGACTTTCGACTCCGCCTTGAATGAAAATGAAGAAAGACATGCTAGGCGAGCAATGATTCATCGAAACAGACCAAACAAAGGGTGATCAAGTGCTGATCAAAGGACCTTTTGCGTAAGTCACCAAATGAGAAGAGACATCGTTGGCATGAACTCGAGAGGGCAATTGGTGCTCAAAGGGAGCATTGGTGCTCACCGGTGATGTACGGAGTCAAAGTGTACCGGTGTTTGGCGGAGCAAATAAAGCATGTGTTGACAGAGACTTGGTTGCCCGTCATGTTGAGAACTTGGAAGAGCACCGTTCCTGAACGAGGTGCTGGAAACTTGGTTGAGCTTGACCCAGAGAGATTCCCTCCACAAGCAGAACGGGAAGAAAGACAAACGGATGAGCTGAAGGTCATTGACGACCAAGGACCGCGAGTCGAGGAGGCCAATCAAGTGTTGATTTGCAAACCCGTTGATGAGGCAGATAGCTCAAATGATCAGGTAATGAATCATCAGTGATAAGAACATGTAGGGAAGGAGCCAGCTAAGCAGGAACGTGAAGGACAAGTTCAAGTCCCCACATGGGAGCGACTCATTCGCCAGCAGGTTCTGACAGACAGGGGTGAATCTTCATGATAAGTGTGGAGCCCAACAGTAAACCAAGGGAAGGTAGTGAAACATTGCAATTGGAGGCCATCGCTAGTAGGTTGGAGGCCATCGCTTCTAGGTTGAAGGCCATTGCTATTAGGTTGGAGGCCATCGCAATTAGGTACAAATTAAATGGGGAGACAAGCGGATCCCAGGACATGGAACTTGAAATGCACCCCACATATATATTATATATAGACTTAGACAGCAGTTCGCACTTCCTCTTTGAAGCAAGCCATACGAAACAGCTCGAACGGTTTGGATTTTGGAGCCCCAGAACTCGAAACACTTCTGAAATGTTGTATGTTGAGCATCGAAAGGGGATGCAGTTTTGTGTTTTCGTGCGACATGTGCAGGTCTCCATTTGCCAGGAGAAGGTCAGAAATAGAGGGCGTAAGTTGAAACACAAGGAACCGAGTAAGAATCTGTCCCCTGATAGGAAGCAAGACTTGAACGGCGCTAAGAGTAAAGAATGGGGAAGAATCATTAACCCGAGTGCAACGGTTGTCCATGTTGGTGAAGCGGCTTCGAAGACAAATCAAGAAGTTGGAAGTGAACCGCATCTCCATGTGTTTACACATCAGATGATGGAACAAATCAAGCAGTGCTGAAGGCTTGATGGTGCATTAAGGGTTCCATTGACCCTGGTGCTTGATGATGCTTGATGCGCAGACAGCCTCACCAACCCTTAGCAAAGAGGGCTTTCCGGAAGACGGAGTGCCAGGTCTAGATGACGATGCACTCTGTGAGTGTATGGCTTAGTAGACGCCCTGAACTTGTATTGGGATTCCTTGACAAGAACTTTGAAGGAACTTCATCCCGTTCAGTCGAACTGGGACAGTTGCATGTTTCACAGTATTGTGACTTGATCACGGGCAGTACCCAAGATCTTGTTTACAATGAGTTTGGACAATTGAAGTAGATGCATCCCTTCAATCATGTGAAGCACGGAGAGGGCGAGTTTGTTGGATATGATAAATATTGGAATAGAAAGAAGGCGGAAAGGTTGTTGTTCAACAAAAGGACTCTGCGGATACCCTCGAGTGTATTCCTATTAGCAAAGAAAGAACAAGGAAACATAATGCGGACATAAACGCATCTGAGAAAACACAGATGAGGGGAATGCTGAGGGAAATCCAATGGCTTGTTGTCACAGCTTCCAGGGCCAATCTAGTTGCGCAAGACATGATTTAAGTGAACAAACAGGTTGCCATGGCTCGAGACTATATATATATATTCCGGAATGGAAACTGTGGTGAAGACCGAAGACTTTAGATCCGAGAACAATCCAATTGCAGCATGGTAAGATGCCAGCTTTGCCAACGCTGAAGCACGGAAAAGTCAAGCCGGTTAGATGTGTGCTGTTGAACCTGGTCTACGAATCTAAGACGAAGTGAATGGGCCAACCTGTCACCTCTTAGATCCAGGAGTTACAAACAGGGTAGACAAGTTGGCTCTTTGATGAAGTTGATTACATCACTTTGGACAGAGGCAATGTTCGCAAACTACCAGTTTGAAGATGCTAAAATCTGGAGCTCGTGAATCCCAGTCACAATCAGTGTGAACTGACGTCCAGTCTTTGAATCTCAATGGACAGTTCCATGAGCAATAGAGACGTTGCTGGTGAAGAGAGATGTGACGAAAGGCGGAGTTAACATTAGGCGGCTTCACTTGTCATCTGTTGGTCGTTGGATTGACGAAGCTGGGAGTCAAAATGGATTGACAATGAAAGGTGATCCAGTACGGCAAGATGCGACTTAGAGAAAATCCAAAAATCGTGAGGCGGATTGGAAAGGCTGCGAAAGGAAGTTGAATGGAGTTTTAGTTTGTGTGTGTGTGCGCGTCTGTTTGCTTTTGTTGGTGAGATCCGGAATTGGGATGTGATGTGTGAAAACCATATCAATTCCCAACCATGATGCTTAGATGAAGGGATGAACACATCCGGCACAAGCCCCCCTTCAGTCGCGGGAACAAATGTTTGGGTCGCCATAAAATCACCACTGAGGGATTCGTCCATTTTTAGTCTGTCAGGTATCAACCACCGCATGATGTTTTTCTGCATCAGTCAACCAGAACCATGAGCAAGCCCAGCCTTGCAGCAATCCCAATACCAGGAGCGAAGAGAGCACCTGATCTTGAAATTGAGTCTAACGGTTAGCAAACTCTGAACCAAACTTGCAGTATATGATGTGTTTCAAAAAAGCTGGAATATGCCGCAGGTGCACCAAAAAGAGCAACATGCTTCGCTCAAAGAGCTTTTGTGAGACTTTGGGAGCGACAAGATTTCCCATCTGGAGACCGACAGCTCCTGCGAATAGGCCTCAGCAAACACTGCGATTCCATCTATACATCGGAGGCTCCATTTGGATCTCAGAATCGAATTCGCCATAATTTGCCCAGCTACCAACACAGTAAATGTGGGCATCTTCCAGTCGGATGCGGCGTAACGACAGGAGCATGGGGAAGCGGAAGGTCCAAACCTGCAACAGCATGTTGAAAAATGATAATTAAAATGGTTGTACTGTACTACAGTATATATATATATATCAATTGAGTCTCATTGATTCCATTGATGTTGTCTTTGGAACTGGAGTCACAGGGTCCACAAGGTGATATCTTGAACTACAGACTGTAGCTGTTGATTTGCAACACAATTCCAGTGGACTTGTTTATTGTGCTTGTGTGGCACCCATTCAACTACGCCTCAATAGCTTGGCCCATTGGGAAAAGGTTTCGTGCCACCACCTCGCATCGTCACGGCAAGGCACGTTCTTAATACAAGCAAAGCGAGCACCTTATAGCAAGCATGTATTCCACCTTTTATGAGCACCTTATAGATAGCAAAAATATAGTATTCCTTCTTTTGAAGAAGTTGTTTGCTTCTCTTGTAGGTAGCAAGATCCAAGACCTAAGACCAAGTGTCAAAATGACTACACTTACACCTCTTGCGGCCTTGTCCAAGCCAGTGATGGCTGTTAGCAAAATAAATGGCGGCCCATTCATCCCACACCTTGAACGAGTGAAGTGCTGAAACATTGGATGAATGTGATTGCAACAATGGGGACTCGTGCCAGCAACATGACCTACAAGAATGTCACTACGCTGAGTCTATAGCAGGCCCCCCAAGAAGCCTCCGATTAAACCTGCACAAAAGAAGAAGGAATAGTTCAGTGATCTGGCTCTGACATTCGTATCCCAGTGTTGGGCATCTACATTGTACATACTTGCAGAGCTGACATGCACATGATGGATGTAATCACCTCAGGGACCGCACGGATTTAAGTTGCCTTGTCAACACAGCAGTCGCCTACTGGTGGCAAAGCTCCCATCAGCCACCAAGGCGGTTCAGGCAGCTGACTCAGCGCAGCAGTTGTGTGTGTGTGAAGAAGACTGAGGGTTCATGACAAGGAATAGAACCATTTAAGGAACGCTCTTCAGTTCATGAGTTGCTTCTTAAGCCTTTGCTATCCAAAGGTTGGCAAAGCGAGATGAAGGGACATATTCATTTACCTGACTTGGTAGTTCAAAATGTCCTTGCCAAGGCCGACTGGACTTAGACTCCAGCTCTTTGACTGTGGTGCTTTGATCTTTGTTTTCCTCGTGCTGTTCTTCATGGTCTTCTTCCGGATCTTGTTGTTCCAACTCCTCATGCTTCTCAGACTCCGTCACCTCTGTGCACTCCATGGGTTCCCGGGGCTCTGTGATGTTGTCTCCTCGACATGAATCAATGTGTCACGCTATTCGGTTGCTTCAACCACTTCGCTTGAGCAAAGATGAAATTGTTGTTTTTTCACTATAGGACACTTGGCCCTGAAGCTTCACGGCCTTGCAATAACAAACATCTGTCCTTCCAAGTTCTTGCGTTTCTCGACCTATGATGCAGCTTGTGGCGACAAACAAAGCAAAACCAAACTTAGGACTTGGGATGACTTAAGTGCCGAGCTGCCTGCTTCGCAGTCGTTATGTTGAAAAGACCATCAGACAGGGGCTTCAGTAGAGCAAACGTCCTTGTTCGCACAAGGTTGAGGCAGCTCAAAGGGATGCAAAAAAGGCGGCTTTCCCTCCTCTCTCTGGCAAACCGTAATACACTTTCAATCAAAAACTTGCAGCAAAAAGACAGGAAGGTCATTGAAAGCACCAACTGCACATCCTCGGTCGGCGCCACCTGGCAAGAATGTTGGAAGGCATTCGATACCACCTCTGATACGAGCCCTCACCTCTCGCAAGTGGTTGCCAAGAGGAGAAAGCATGAGCATCGCAACACTGAAAACCATTCCAGGCTTCACATAGAACCACCTAAGCGAAGCGCTCAACGCTGAAGCAGCTCGAAAGAGCCTGGTGACCTCATGTTCGAGTTGTCAGTTGTGAAACCCCATGAGATATCTACACGAGAGCAGCAGGGCGAAGACACGTAAAAACGAGCGCTGATCTTTTCCTGCGAAGAAAACACCCAGGGCAGAGCACCCTCATCGCCCAAGGCAATTTGGTCGAGGCTTTTGAGACATCAAAGGAAAGCACCGGCACCAAACTCAAGTAATCAAAATTGAGTCGTTGCTGTGTTTCTTCTGCTGCTCTAGCCAGACACAGCGTCAAACCAGACGGAACTGGCCATCACCTTCATTTGCTTTGAATGCTGGTCCTGAAGCCCCCAGCCCTCAATGTGACAGAAAACTAAACACTTGGAGTTTTGTTTGGGCAGCTTTCGGGGTCATAGCCGTGGTTTGCCTTCTTTCTGGCAAACGTAAAGAAAGTAGAGAAGGAGAAAAAGCAGAGCTCGCACAAACTTGACACGCTTGATGACATCTAACCACACTTTCAGCGAGAGCCGGGTTGATCTCTCCACTATGTCATGTGAAAGCAGAACGCTCACGTGGTCTCATTTACTCTCTGGTGGCCAAGCCAATGCAGCTGTGCCCACCATTGCTGGTAATTCTTGAAAGCCAATTGAGCAGTAGAGGTGCATTGCATCACCTGGGATGTATACTGCGAGTGGATCTTAATCAGCGAAGTTTGAAGCTATCACTGACGGTCCATAAGCGGCGTAGCGTCGGAACGGGAACCGCACCTTTTCTAGTCGCTTGATCCTTGAGCCAAAGTACATATGGTATATATATATATATATGTACATGTTGCACTGTACATGTCGCTGCACTTCCATTCGCACCCCCCATGTGAACGGTAACAATATGTTCCGATCACACACGAAAATTTAGGGATGTAAGTGCTACAAAGAAATTGTGTGATTTGCCGCGAGACTCATACGAGGCTCATACTACAGAACATGCTGGACTAAAGCGGACTTTTACATATAAAGTGTGCAACTATGGCTCAGAACCTATAAAAAAAATCGAATTGAACAAGTGAGACAGTCACGAAGCCTCGCTCAGTATCCACTCAAAAGAGCTTCGCTTTGATGTAGACCCGAACTGGTGACTTCCACGTAGATGTCACATCGGCAATTGACTTCACACTTCTCAAAGATGTAGGTTTTGGTTTGGATACACTTACAGAACGGCAAGTCGGAGAGACAGTCGGTGATTGTCTTCCTTCCATTATGCTCATGGTATCAAATCAAATTGTCGATTTGCAATGGTACACTTACAGCGTTCCAGGTCAGATAGACATCCGGTGAATGACTTCCTCCCTGGTTTGCATGGTATCCTCATAGTCGTTCAAAGAAATCACCACTGGTGATAACCTCTCCATCCACGATGATCCCAGTTGCCCTGAGCATCCCTCCGATCATCTTCTCCCTTCTTGGACTTTCCCTTGGACTTGCTCTTTCCCTTTCCCTTTTCAGAAGGTTGAGGTACTTCGCGACGTTCTTGCGTTAACGCCGGCCTCCAAGATGTTCCAGATTGGCCTCCTCCTTTGGAATGTCCTCGGGATGATGAAGAAGTTGTACCTTCTGCTGCATGTGCGTTGGCGGCAAGATCTTCCTGCAAAGCTTGCTCAAACGCATCGGTAGCACTGGATGGTGATTTATCATGTGGTCTGGCTTTTGGAGCAGCTTTTGCCTTGATCTCCTCTGCTGATGAGGGCCCGAAACTCTTAGGTGCTGCTGAAGGTTTTGGTTCCTCATTTGGTGCTGACGACGGCTTGGCCTCGGTTCTGGGTGTAGATGCTGGCTTAGCTGTTGCCTTGGCTGCCTGCTTCTTCTTGCCCTGAATCTCCTTGGCCCTATCTCCAAAGCCTAGACGATTGGTAAGAGCTTGAACATGCTTGTGTTCTATCACGCTCATCCATCTCTCTGTATGTCCAACGTTGGGGTTTCTGGCCATTGACTCTATGACTTCCTGAGCTTGTGGGGGCAACCTGATTTCATGTTGATCAATGATCAAAAGAATAGACTTCTCCCACTTGCTCTTCATTCTCGAGTACATGATGTCCAGAGGATCGATCACCTTGTGGTAGGGTGACGTGATGTCGGTTCTAAAATAAGAATATGTCCGACACCCATAAATCGCATGGATGCACTTCTGTACCAATTCAGTCATTGCACTGGCTTTCCTCGCTTTCAACTCCTCAAGCTGGGCATCAGTCAAGTCGGTGGAGTATTCGAAGTTGCCATATTCCTCTTTGAAGGATTTCGGTGTGTGACCGAATGATAGGATCATGAGTGCTACCTTGCAAATGAATTGTTCTCCTCTGAATCGGTGCCAGGCCTCCTCAGTTGTAATATTGTTGTCGTTGGCAAAGTTTAACATCATGTCATCTGTTGGATCCAATGGTCTCCCATCGTCATCGATTTCAGTGGAGTCTCCTGTACCGAACTTGCTTATCACATCCAGACGCTTCTTTTTCCAATTTGCTTTGAAGTCGGTAAGGCTGGTGCAATAGTAGCTCTTGTACATCAGGGAGATCATGTTCAGCACACATTTGACCACATACCTATCCATCAAACCCGATGCATTCATGGAGACGTCCTGACAGTAGGCTCTCTCTTGATGCGCATAGATTCGAGGTTCCGGTACTCGACAATAGATGGGGAGATCTTCGTTGTCTCTTCCTTCTTCGGGATTGAACTCGGTCGCTCCATGCTGTGTGTAGTATCCCGGTTCATCACGATCTGTCGGTCGATTTGCCTCCGGATGTAAGTCGTCGGCGACGTCTTCATCCTCGGGCTCACCATCTTGACGTTTCTTCCCCTCATATTGTTGTGTGCTCCTCTGGATCTCGATGATCACGTTTCGTTCGTCTTCATCTTCTAGATCAGAATCACGACCGTAGTCGATCTCATCCTCATTGAAAGATGGGGTCTCGACATTGTCACTCTTGAGGTTCTCTGCACCATCAGACGTTTTGGAAGGATCTTGATTGTCCATATCCTCGTCGTCATCAGCTGCTTCAGTTTGAGCGATGTCTTCTTCCCAAGCCTTTCTGATCTCGTCCATAGTGGCCTGATCCAACATATCTTGATCATCATGTTCAGGCTTCTTCTCTTCCTTCTTTTCCTCTTCATCGTCGCTCACAAGATCAACGGGTGAATCGGAAATAACAGTGTTACGAATACCACACGAGAGTAGCCTGCCTTGACAAGATAGGCATACGGACAACGATGAAGAAGTCAAATGCATACATGATGGACACAAAATATTGCCATCCACGTTGCGATACCCTTCACATGTTCTGGAGATGATTTCGTCCCAAGTTTCCTCACTGATGGAATCCTCGATCAGCTCTCCATTGTCATCGAATCGTACTTCATCGATAAGGGATACGAGCTTCTGGACGTTGTCATCTGTCGCCGAGGCTGACTTTGTGACTTCGTCGGCTCTCCCGAGGATGGTATGCTTCTGAGCAACCCAAAGTCCATGACGTGCCGCTAGAACAACTTGTTCTCCAGTGCTTCCCAGCAGGAGTCTCCTCCATGCCTGACCGTGGTCATCCCAATACCAAGCACCTCGTACACATCTCCATGGAACTTCTCTAAAAACAACAGTGTAGGAATTCTCCGAGATTCTTCCTCCAAGTTTCCTCAAAGTCATGATTGGAACATAAAGGCAAACGGGCATTCCCCCCCTTGGCCATCTTGATCTCAGGATCTTTGATGATCGATCATCCCATGGCGCAAAGTGGTTGAAGAAGACACTACCTCTATATCCATCCATTCCACCAGGGACAATTCCTAGTTTCATGATTGACTCAATATTGGAAAGCGATGTCATGTGAAAGCTTCCTCCAAGCTGCATTGCCACATTCTCTGGAATGAGATGTGAAGTCCATACAGGATATATTGACACATCCTCTTCAAGAACAGTCTCTCTTCCAGAATTGTGAGAGGCAACGGCTCGAATTGCACAAGGAACGATCCAACGTTCATGCTTCAGAAATGATGGTGCATCTGTGCCGTGAAACATGAGGTTTGCCCAGTATCGCCTTTCCTCTTCGAGTGAGACATCCTCCTTTGAGATGCGAACGGCGGCAATCTGATATCGTACTCTGTTCTGCAACTTCTTTGCATGCCACATCGCCTTGCATAAATATTGGTATCGCTCTGTCTTGATATCTTGCTCACGTCGGGTACCTGTGATAGTACTGATATTGACACCATCGTTGAAGACATGATCATATTCCAGGATCTCATCGATGTTCACCCATCCACCCTCATTGCACTTCGGGGACACATGAGGTTTTCGACCGCGGTGCGATTGAATCCCATTATGCTTTCCCACTCCATGCCTGAGTAGTCTATTGAGTCTGTGGCTAATCTCGTTGACCCATTGACTCTCCTCGCTGAGCTTGTCGATGCGGATTGCTGGGTTCATCTTTGGTGGATCCGTGTAAGTTGCATCTATCTTCGGTCCATTCCAGTACTCCACATAGAATGTAACTCCATACTGAGGAATTATCTCAATGTTTCCTCTATCGCAAGTCACCTCAATCTGCCGATATCCAGCCTTTTGAAATTGTTGTGGATCAGGAGCAAGGTCCTTCACTTTGGGCATCTTTATTCCGAGTGCTGCAGCCTCCTGAATAAGTGCATCAAGTTCCCTCTTTCCATCAGGACCTGATCTATCAACCCTGTGATTTGCGACCTTGTGCTCTCCTCCTTCTTTGTCATCGGCAATGTCAAAGAGGTCGACGGGCTCTTTGAATCTGGTGACGAAGCTGGCGTTCCCAAAGGCCTTCTTGGTCGCCTCGACCGCTTTTGCGTATTCCTCTTTTGCAGAGTCTGACGAATGTGGTCTACCTTTGGCTCTCGGAGAGTAAGGTGGTACCTTACTTCCTAGTTCCGGTTCTTCTTCGGGAAGTTCAATGTCTTCATCATCCACATCCATGTAGTCTTCGTCTTCGACGTCTTTGGATGACTTTGCTTTCCTCTTTCGGCTTTCAACATCACGTCGGATGATTGCCTTGTCGTCCTCGGTGAAGCACTTGCGCATAGTGTCCTCCATGTAAGAGAATGATTTCATCAACACGTCTTTCTTCTCAGTGTCGGGACAAATAGCCAGGTGATGTTGGTTTGAACCACAACAATAGCACACATTTTGGCTCTCTGCGCGTGCCCTGACTCTTCTGAGGTTGTCATAGGCGGATTTCCAGCTGGAAGCGATTGCTGTACCTTGTCCACCGCGCTTGGTAGCTCTTTTCCGATCCTCAGTGTCCGGATTCGATGTCGGGTAGTTCGACCATGTTTTCGTCGGAGATACTGAGCGACCTTCCCCATCCTTGTAATCTTGCGGATCAAGCTCAGGCGTAGGTGGTTCAGGCTCCTCGACCCCTGGAGTGGTACTCGCAGGGTCGGCTTCGCCATCCTTCATCTCTACATCAGGCTCTTCCGTAGATGTTCTTTTGGGTTCTGGGGCTATGGCCAGTCGTACCATTCTCCTGAACTCTGGTCTGGTAGCATATCTGGACATGACGGCATCGATACAGGCTCGTTCTTCAGCTGTAACATGGAGCCCTGAAGGTTTATTCCTCTTGGTGTTGTCATTGATTGATTTTCGGCTCGCTGCATAGAAGTGAAGAAAAGACATTTCTATACCTCTTCTGCATTCATTGATCTGAGCCCAATCCCCGAACAGCGTGTCTTTGAAGATGCCGGCCAGTTCGAGAACACCAGTCCAGAACTCCATG